AGACATCTAATAAGGTCATCACCCCTGTTATCAAAGTGTGGCTCAGGAGTAGAGAAGGTGGCCGTGGGAGGCGCAAATAACATGGACGTGGCTTTCTCTCGCATTTGCAGTTCCTCACCCTGCTTAGGAAGGCTTTGCACATGGTTTTTTAAGCTCCAGAGCTGGGTCTGGGATTGTTCTCAATCTTGTTCCTCCTCTATGCCCCAGGCTTGATGGTCTACTTCGGTTACGGCATCTGGCACAGCAAGGAGAACCTGCGGGAGTCCCAGGCGCACGCCGTCAGTGCGCGCTACGTGGTCTTCCCCAACAGCAGCCTGGAAGAGAGCGTCCAGACGGTGCAACCGAGCACCCAGCCGTCTCAGGGTTTGGAAGAAACCGCAGAAGAGGAAGCAAAGAGATGATGCGGGAGGGGGGAAGGCCTAACCGGAGGAGACCCTTCCCTTGCCCCCCCACATCCAGCCCACTGTTCTCCAGTGTTTTGGCCACCAACGAGAAGGCTCACCAGGCCCAGCTGCGAAGCCCGGTGGAACAGCGAGCCACTGCCAACGGAATACAGATGCGCTGCACCCCCTCCTTTCAGTTGCTTGGGTCCCCATTTGTGTTGCTGGAAACCTGGGTTCATTGGGCCACTGGTCCCCCTTGGAAATGGCCCAGGTTGTCCCTCCACCAGCTTGGAGGTGGCTTGGATCTGCCGTGGGCTTCCTTTGATGTGTGGCCGATGGTGGATGAAAATTCCCTCCTCCTTCTTCCCAGCTGCCAATGTGTTCCCGTCACTTTCCTCTTGCCTTAATCTGGCTGTTTTATTAGTTCCTGTCAAATTATAAGGTCTTGGTTGTCAACGAAGGACCGCAGCCTGTTTAGATGATGCTGCGATGTGATGCGGCTGCTTGCCGCAGGAAGGCTTCAGCCAAATCACGAGGAGGAGGAGGACGATAGAGGTCTGGGTCCCAGATTATCAATGCACAAGATTGTGTTGTGATTCATTGCCGTTCCCTCTGAAGAATGCCGACACCGCAGACACGGCGCCTGGCCCGTGATGATGGCAAGGCGACTAGAGAGCCCAAGACTTTGGCCGTTGTCATGCTCTGAGCTCCTTTCTTCCACAAATGCTTAGAGGCCGTCAGGATTCAAGCCTGCAGAGGCGTGAATTACAGGCCATGTTATCAGGAGCCGCACTTCATTTTGCACACAAATGACATGGCCCAGTTATGCCCAGCCGCAAGAGAGGACAGCGCTGGCCTGCTTCCCACTTGATCAGCCCAAACAGAAGAGGGGATCATGAGCCTTTTCTGGATGGCCAATTCCCATGATTGCGGGATGCTGCTGGAGTGCTTCTGTATCCCGTGGGAGCGGAGGGGGGCATAACTCCCTTCAACCCAATGGAAACTCAACCAGTCCCATTCAGTGTCATGGAGTCTGCAAAACTCACCCATCCTTGCTAGTCAAAAGAGGGCCCCTCTTAAATTGTCGGACTGGGCATGAGACCAGCTTGGGTCTGTCATCCAGATGTTGGCCACACCTGGCTCCTGCAGTAAAAGAGTAGCCAGTTTCTCTCAGAAGCCTCAGCCGGTGTCCTCACCTGAATTCTTGGCAGTCCCCGAAAGGAGGTTGTATTTATTAATTTATTTATTACGTCTCTGTCTTGCCTTTCATCTAATGAGGTCACGGCGGCTTACCTGCCTGTCTTCCTCCTCTCTTTATCGTTGCATCCTCAGCCTTATTGGAATGCAAAGTGTTAACGAAGACCGCCCGACTGATTAGCACCCCTCCACCTCCCGGGGTGCCCCACTTTCTAGCTCTTGGTTCTCTTCAGGCCCTCCTCTTCCCCCACCACAGCACAATCCCCCCCTTCCCCCATGGCACCTTCCAGGCATCTTTCATATTTCATAGCGGACTTGTTCCTGTCAGCTTTTAAAAAGAACCGCAGACTTCCGTGGGCCCAACGGCCTCATACTAATCGGTAGCGCAGTACTATCTCCCACATTTCTGACAGCCGAGATACCCTTTTTATTCCTGGATTAAAACCGGAAAGATACTTTTCTTCTGCGCGTCTACAGTATGGCACAACAAGGATTAAAGACCCAGGAATTACTTTGCCAGAAAGCTGATGCGGACCAGGAGAAATATGCTAATCTCTCTTGGAAATGTTTCTGGAGCAGGCTGGCATTTTTTCTGGGCCTGCCTCTTTAGAAGGTTGGCAACCGGCACGCAGCAGCAGCTGCTACAGCAAGAGAGTTTGAACAAGCCAGATGTAATGTGAGGCCGACAGGCAGAAAGGCGGCCAGAACTGGGACTCTGGCAGAGATGTGGCCAGGACCCTCCCCTGCGGAGGGCCGCAGAGCAGCTTTTCTGAGGTTTATTCATCTGTAGCACAAAATTTGGGACCTATTGCGAAGATTCGTCCAGTCCTTGAACGGGATGAAACATTCCACTGGGCGCGATCCCACCTCATCTGTTTCCAAAGGGGCCATCCACCCCAAAGGGCCTCGCTCTTTCCTGGAAGCACCGCTCTGGACAAAAGTCTCCGGGCTCTTTGGGGCCTTTCCAACCCCACCCAGGGATTGGAGGGCTGTCCTTCGGAGTCACCACTCAGCCGTACTGCCCTATCAGAACCACTCAGCCAGGCTTTATGAAAGAGCGGCCGCTCTGGCTACTGCCAGAGGGTCACAGGCCATGGTAGGGCCACCGTGGGCTTGCATGTCAAACTTTCCCCCACCCCAAACAAAGATCACTTTCTGCTTTTGCCGGTCTGTGCAGGTAATGTGGCTGCTTCTGCAGTTTGGGGGGCCAAGGGTGTATCTCCGGCCCATCGAAGCTCCTGGCCACGAATCCCAGGGAGGCAGCAGGCGGTGCACGGTGTCGGGTCCCTCCAGCCCTTCCCCAAACCGCTGGCTTGATTCCCCCTCCCTTCTGCTCAAAATGACATGGCCGTCATCTCTGCCACTCACCCACAGAAAGCATCCCTTTGGGGCAGGGCGAAGGGGCTCAAGAGTGTTGCAGGCCGTCCACTCAGGAGATTCTTGGGGGGCAAAAACCAGATGATCAGATACATTTCAGTCTGGTCTCATGCCTGGTCTAGGGGCCAAAACAGGCTCGGCCACCCTGACGGATGAGCTGGTTCACAGCCGAGAACCAGCGACCATGTTTTGGTGGGTGGGTGGGTGGACGGCTACCCTGTAGATTTTCTCAGATCTCTCCGCAGCTTTTGATACCATCAGCCGTGATCTTCTCCTGGAGTGGCTTTGTGGGTCCCAAGTAGGAGGCTCTGGATTTTAGGTTTGGGTACAAAGAGGGGTGCTGGGAGATTTCTGCTCTGCCCCATGACAGTTGGGCTTTGGGGTATCATGGGGCTCTGCTCGGTCTCCTAGGCTGCTCAACGTCCCTATGAGGCCACGGTGTGAGATCATCTGTGGTTTGAGAGTTGGGTTCTGGCTTTAGCTTGATGATTCTACGTCTTAGTGTCCTCCGTATCAGTTGAGGTTGTGGAGGCGCTGCCTGGATCCTGCCACCGGCTGGACAAAAGCCAGTAAATTGGAGCAGGGGTCCTTTCTGACCCATCAGAGGTTCTTGTGTGTTACTGGTTCCATCTCTTGCAAATCAGCCATGCCGCTTGTCCTGAATGGGGCTGCTTGCTCCTTGAAGGAGAGCAGGTTTGAGGGGCTTCCTGGATCCCTCTCTGGGAGGACTCAGTGGCTCAGAACACCCGAGGCCAACTCATAACATTTCGCAGACAAGAGACGGCCCTCCAGGAGTCCTTCATGCACGAGTAACACCCCATTTGGGTTACTGAATGGACACCTTGTAGGGCTGCCCTTGACGTATCGGTTCCAAAGTACTGGGTCCCCAAAAGGCTTCGCCACTCGCTGTGCTGGCCGGGATTTCCAGGATTTGTTGTCCAAGCACATCTGGAAACCCAGGGTTGATAAAACCTGTAATCAGCAGCTCGGCGACTGACGCAAACACCTTCCAGAAAAACAAAACGACACCTATTCTAAAAGGACTGCATTGGCTGCCTGTTTCAGAGATGACCACACACGTGTTAGCAATGCTAGGAAAAAGGATGAGATTTAAAGTCCTCAGTGGGATACCTGAGGGGGGGGTGCCCACTCCTCAGACCAACTTGTCTAAACATTGAGATCTTATGTGTCTCCACCACCGAAAGCAATTTGCAATGTGGGGAGAAGGACCCCCAGCGGTAAAGACTAGGGTCGCTTCCCCTCGGAGGCTTCCATGGGATGAACTAGGCCTTCATTTCACGCACCAAGCACAGCCGTGATTGTCCGTGGCTTCATCTCCAATTTTTTGGGCTGCCGGTTTCTGCTCTGCTTCGCTCAAAGTGTTTTAAGGTGTGCTTAAATGTGTTTCAAACTGTTTTCAAGTATTTGGATGGTTCCAAAATTCTTTCAAGGCAAGGCCACTGATTGTACCCCGCCCTCGGGTCTGTTGATATAGAGTGGATAAAAAAGTATTTTAATAAATAGTGTCTACTCCAAGACATGCAGAACTGTGGACAGATCAGGTGTCTCCAAGAATGGGGGGCAGGTGGGCATGCTGGCCTCAACCGTGCCAAGCCGCTCCTCTCCTCCAGAATTAAATCTAAGGATACATTCACACTGCAAAACTGCATCTTTGAGAGCAAAGGGACATCCCACCCACCCTCATGCAGGCCAAGTCTGTCTTTTTCTGATCTATCTTTCAAATTATCTGCAGCATCTCTGTCTTGCGTGGGTCCACCTTCGTTTGTTCATCCTCCTCCAGTTCATTACCAGTCCATGCAGGGGCCGTCCTTAGATTGAGACAGAAAGGGGAAATGCAGGATCTCTGTACCATCAAACTCCTACAGGCAAAAAAAAACTCTCCCAGTGATTTCACAGAGAGGTGAACAGACCCCTTGGGAGAGGCAGGCCAACCCACCCCCATGTCGAACAGGAGTACTCCAACAAAACCTGGAGATCTTACACGTTTTGGGAGGATAACTCCCAGAATCCACCAGCCAGACTCTGGGGACTAATCCCCACCCTTATTAACAAACATTTCCAAGCCCTGAGTGTGTAGTTTTCAGCAGGGAAAAAAAGGTACGGAAGAAAATGGTTTTGGGGGGATAAAATCCCTCTGCCCCTGTTTTTTGTCACTTGTTTCTTTTTTGAAAGCCAAGCATCTGATGTTAAGTCAACTTTGTGGAAGGCTTGCCCAAAGGCAGGCCTTGTGCAGCCCGTGTTTCTATCCTCAGATGATCACCTCTGCCTTCTTTCCTGGCTTCCCTGTCTTTTCCTGGGCCTTTGCATTGCCCTGCCACTTCCTTCTCCACTCCCCTGTGCAAGGCTCTGATGGACTCACCCACATGAGCTAGGAAGAGAACTCCTTGCTCTGGCCTTCTGTGACATCACAGCAGCTAAGCCAATCAGGAGCAGGGGGGACTTCAGCAACCTCTCTCTCACCAGCATCTCATAAATCCCTTTATATACAACAGCAAGCTTTCCACAGCCTGGACTGGATTACATCGTCCACATGTCTCTAGCCAATGCTGGCCAGCCTGGCAGTCCACCACATCTTAATGGTCACTGGCATGTGGAGGAGTGGGGGGGGGCGTAGAATAACTGGCAACATGGAAAAGCTGAGCAGGATGGGTTCTGCACATGTTCCAGTAGCAAAACTACAGACACAGGCAGATTCTCAGCAGTTCCCGGACTCTGTGCCCCAAGACATGAGAAATCAAAGAGAGAGCAAATTTGGGGGAAGAGTCCACTGAGTTAGGAACACAGAAAGAGGATTTGCCTCAACTTATTTATAAGACAACATTTAGAAGCTAAAAACAGTGAGTATACAAATATTAAAAGATGATTAAACAAGTATTTAATGGTCAATAGAATCAATGCTAAAAACACATTTAAAAACAACAGAGCACAACCATCCATTCAAAGAAAGCTAAAAACAGTAAATCGATGAAACATTTAAAAAAAGGATTAGTAACATTATATTTTAAATGTTAGGACAAAGCAATTACAAGACCAGATTTAGAAGCAACAGAATACAAATCATCGCATTTTAAAACTGCCCCTGAACATTCAGGGCCCTGTCCACACCGTGATATTCGGTGCGATCCAGATGGTGCCGAAATGGTCCTTCCTTCCCCTTCAAGGCAACCTATTTGAACTCTTGGTACCAGTCCATGAAGGCAGGAGCTACTTTACATCCCAAGGAATTGCTATGCTCTAGCCCTGTGCCAGAAAAATCCCAGCTGCCTCTTAAAGGGGAAGGGTAGATCCTTTTAAGTAGAAACACAAGCAAACAAGGTTTTTGTTCCCATGCTGAGCAGGGCTATTGGGAAACCCAAGGCCATCGCTCTCTGCCAGTGTGGACAGTCACGAAGGAAAAGCCTGCCAACTGGCCTTTACTGGCATATTGCCCCTGGATGCAAGAGCCAGGAGCCATGGACAGAACTCCAGGAATCCCTCGGGTGAGATGGATAACGCGGTGGTTGAGGTCAGAGGTTGGGAGTTAGATCCCCCCCCATGGGCCTCCTTTACATGGGCTGGACTCTGTGATCCACATGGTCCCTACCAGCTCTGCAGTTCCAAGATTATTATATGATTATATCTACCATGGCAGCAGGACCCCACACCTCAAGATAAACAATCTCAAGCTTAGCAGCAAGCAATGGATTCCTACAGGTTCATATTCTTAATTTGTTCTGGGAAGGAAGAGCGGAGTGCTCTGGATTTTAATTAGGAAATAATGGGGTTTGGGGAAAGACCGGGTTAAATAGGACATTAGCAGAATTAGCACTGATGAATCCCTCGCACCCACCCAGTGTCAACAGAAGGAAGCGCAGAGGCCTGCATGATCTGCCCTGGGTTCATCGCACAGGTAACCAAGATAGGGGGAGATCAAGAAGTTCTTCTCAAAGGGCACCCAACGTTCGGGATCTTCTCAGGAAACCTACAAGACAGAAACAACACACGCATGTAACACATCGCTGGCAATATTATCTTGGCTTCAGGTTGCCACTGGTTAAGAATTCCTGTATTCCTCCTTGGGTACAGAGTACAGAGACTCCTTAGCAAGTGACAATTCTCCCCTGAGATTTAGCTCCTTTTACTGACAGCAGCGCACATCAGTAAGAGGATCATTCCAGTATGTAAGAGATAATATGTTTTTGCAGCATGTTTATTTCCTAGATGTGATCAGGTTCCATTTGAGAAGAATACAGAGGGCTTTGAAAGGGGAGTGAATCGCTTGAGGGCCAGGATCCAGCACGGAATCTCACCAAATCCTGATTTGGAGCGCGTGGATTCCAGAATGACGCTGAGCTCTTTGCCTGCCCTGTGAGCCGCTTGGCGAGGCACGCTCAGGCTGGGGAAGGAGGGTGTCATGAGAAGCCACCTTTTCAGCCATGTTGTCTGGCAGAATCTAGGAGCGGTGTTTCCGGGTGTGATCAGACAGCGGGGACGGCCCCTATCAGAGGGCACTAGAAAGGGTCATCCAGAGAGAATCTGCTTTCCGCACCTTTGCTGGGTCTCTGCGGAACAAGCGGGTGGTTCCATCATGTTTGATTCGAAGGCCCGGAGCAACTTCCTGAACGGCTGCGCAGAGTTCGACAAAGTCCGGCTTCACCACAATCTCCTGAAAAGGGAGAAAAGCCACACATGCACAGAGGCCCATCACATCACCAACTGACTTGCAGGAGGGGTTGGAAGCCTTAAGCAGCCACATGGAGAAGGAATGGAGGCAGGCCCCGCTTTAGAGAGGGAGGAGAACATGAGAACTGTGTCCTGGGATCTAACCAAAGCTCGGCTTATTTTTACCTTAGAATTCCAGGCAGAGTTCTCCAGAAAGCTCACTAGGAGGTCCAGGGGCTGGGAAATTTTAGATTTGTTGCTCTATAGATCTCAGAATCCCTTAATCAGCATTTCTGACCCTGAAGGAAGGAAGGAACTAGCCTTCCTGGCTGGCTCTTCTTCCCCAGAAGTTGGCATTTAGAAGCAGGCTGCTTGAGTAGGGGAAGGTTCTACCCGGCCATCCCAGTTACATGCATCTCCCTTCGCGAGCTAGTCCCCAGTGAACCCCACGGAGGCCAGAATCCTCCTTGGCCAGAGGGGGTGGAAGCCAGGGACCATTTCATTTCTCTCTGTTTTCCACCACCTTCCTCTAGTCATGATTTTAATCCCAGTCACACAACCGATGGCAAGCCAGAAGGGAAAAACTGCAGCAGGACTCCCCTTGCAAGCATTTTTCCCAGTAAGAACGTGTTGCATATATTAAGAAAGTCTATGACAGACAAGTCAAACACGCCAGGCAGTCCTTGTATCAGGCTTCTTCTCTTTGCCTGCCTTCCTCCACCCCCCATTTATGGGACCAGACTCCCACTGAACACAAATACTTTGTCTAACCAGAACTTACTGCCTCCCTTCATCTGGTACACACCCAATGTTTTAGCCGATGACTCTCCTGACTCATGGCCTTGGGCTAATGGGACTTGTATTCCAAAACAGCACCCGGCAGGCTGATTTTGGAAAGCCAGTCTATGCCAAGCAGGTCCTTTCTGCCTCTAGACTCGAGAACCTACCGAAAAATCAAGAAACTCCAAGACGGTGCCTGGATTGGCTCGGACGGCTTTGAGAATCCCCACGCAGCCTTTGCTTGCGATTGGGTTCCTGGGCACCTGCAGAGAGAAATGTGTCAGTTTATCTGCAGGGAGAATTTGGATCCCTGACACACGGACGCACCCCCGCTGCCAGAGCTCACTCACGCGGAGGCTTTTCAGCGTCCGGTTTTCCTTCAGGCCCACAGCGAGACTAAGCGCGCCTTCCAGGGATATACAATTGTTGCTAAGGACAGAAAGAAGACCATGGTTTGCCATCATCCCCCCTGAGCGATATTACGCAGCTCGCACTGAGGTCTAAGACATGAACAGCACAAGGACACGACGGTTGAGGCACAAAATCCGCCAGCACTTCATTAAGTCTTCGTTAACACTTATCTTTTCCAGTTCATGGCTACCCTCCTGAGTCTCAGCTTTCCTCTAATTTCTTGGCTGCAATCTCCCTTTGGATGGAGGATTGAACCAAGGCATACATCTTTCACTATTTCAATTTCTTTATTGTCGCTGCTGAAGTTGTGCAGTTCTTCTGTAGTCCTGCTTTCTGTCTTCTTAATAAAAAGGTCCCTATTTATTGAAATAAGGAAACTAGAGACTTACATATACATATATATTTTTTTAATGGTCAAGAACCGGAGGTGGAAAACATGCACCTCAAGCTCGTCAGTGTCACTAAGTAAAACAGACGAAGCTCCCAAACGAACATCAAGGATCAAACCAAGAACGGTTTGCTTTTCTACTAATCTCTCGAGGGGCATTTAAACATGTTTGCTTAATGTCTTCTTCAGGTTCAGCTGCTTTTGTGCTCGGTGCTCAAAAGCTACAGGGCTGCATAAAGCTAACCTAAATTCTGCAACAAGAAAAGCTGAATTCTGCAGCCCGCACAAGCGATATGAATTTGCATTTTGGGGCACGTATTCTACACCTTCTGTGTAGGAGTGCAGAAGCAGCAAGAGAGGACACTGGAGTCTCACGGAGCTGAGGAGTTCCCAGCCTGGATCTTGATTCTCCCTCCCATAGGAGATACATCTCAAAGGTCTACGTGGCAGGCTTATTTCATGGATGAGTGGCAAGAAAGGCTCCAAAATTCGGAAGTGCTTTTAAAAAAGACAAAGGAACCACTGTTACCCAACATGGAGTTCTTCCAGCACATTGTTGACTTTCAGGGCTTCTCCCAGGGCAGCCGCTCCCTTGTTGCCAAAGCCGTTGTAGGCGAGATCAAGCACCCGAAGGAATATGTTCGCCTGCGAAAGGAAGGAGTCTGAGCAAAGAGCTTTAGGAAAAATCCAAAGCCAAAGTACTCGTGAGATGTGGCCTTTTCTCCCCTCAATCAGCCACCCCTGATTTTGTCCCTTCCAAGGCTAATGCATTTATTGATCTGTTTATTTTCCTCTTGCTTTTCCCTATCAAGATGGGCCCCAACGTATCCAAGTACAATCCGTGTAACGATGGGGAACCAACAGGAACAATTACAAACTGGACATCACCGGATGAATACAGAATGAATGTCATCAGATGAATACAGAAGTAATGTCATCAGATGAATACAGAATGAATGCCACCAGATGAATACAGAATAAAATGTCAAGCAATGCAATGCTGAATAAAAATTAGCTTAATCCTGCAAAGTAAACAAAACAAAAGACACACACACACAGAGAGAGAGAGAGCAAAGCCTGACACAAATGTAAAGATATACCACAGCCAAGACCCCATAGATCTCTACTCCACCCAAGGCAACATAAGGTCTACAGACTTTTGGTAGACAGTCTCTCCAAAGTACTCGTGAGATGTGGCCTTTTCTCCCCTCAATCAGCCACCCCTGATTTTGTCCCTTCCAAGGCTCATGCATTTATTGATCTGTTTATTTTCCTCTTGCTTTTCCCTATCAAGATGGGCCCCAACGTATCCAAGTACAATCCGTGTAACGATGGGGAACCAACAGGAACAATTACAAACTGGACATCACCGGATGAATACAGAATGAATGTCATCAGATGAATACAGAAGTAATGTCATCAGATGAATACAGAATGAATGCCACCAGATGAATACAGAATAAAATGTCAAGCAATGCAATGCTGAATAAAAATTAGCTTAATCCTGCAAAGTAAACAAAACAAAAGACACACACACACAGAGAGAGAGAGAGAGAGAGAGCAAAGCCCGACACAAATGTAAAGATATACCACACCAAGACCCCAAAGATCTCTACTCCACCTTCGGGAAGGGATACAAGCTCTTACCCCTAAGCCTTTAGCAACCGCCACAGCTCCTTGGCCCCGGAAGCAGTTCCAGCTGAGATCCAGTTCCTTCAGACCAACATTTTCTGCAATGGCTGCTCCGAGAACCTCACCTAGTTGAATACACAGGTAAGGGGGAAAGAGTTTCAGAGATCAAGAAACAGAATAAAAGCCTGGAAGTTCAGAGCAGCCGGAGCCTCTGCTCTGAGGAGTAGCAACATCCAAGAGAAGGCTGCTTTGGTTTCCCCGCCAAAACACCTCCTGATTTCAGAGGACTGGTACGGTTGAAACCTCACAGACCATCTCAGCCACAAAGGCCAAGGAGATACCCAGCACCCTGAACTCTTCCAATATCTCTCCAACTACAAAGCAGGGAAGGAAGGAAGGAAGGATGCTGGAAGGAGCCACAAGCCGAGGCAGAAGGTGCTAAAGGAAGGGGTGTCTATTCAGAGCAAAGACGGGGTCAGGTCAGTTAATCAACCTCCAAATGGCAGATTTCCAAACAGTCCAGCCTTGACCAAGGTGGGCATCACGTTGCATGCCTGTTTTACCAAGCAGGCCTGTGGAAGAGGCACAACCAAGGCAACCAAGGAGATTCAGCTTCTGCTCTGCACCATCTTGGGTCAAGGCTGGCTGTTCTAGCTGCACCGTCGGAAGCAGCAATGCTTTGGCCCTCGTGGTTACAGAGGGAAAGTAAAGGGCAGACTTCCTGGCCTCTCATTCTTATGGCCTCCGTGTCTGTGAAGATGGAACCGGAATGCCAGGAGGAAGAGAGCATTCCATTGCGTGCCTGTTTTACCAAACGTTCCTGTGGAAGAGGCACAGCAGCCCTTTGTTCATGGCAGCCAAGGAGATCCAGCTTCTGCTCTGCACCATCTTGGGTCAAGGCTGGCTGTTCTAGCTGCACCGTCGGAAGCAGCAATGCTTTGGCCCTCGTGGTTACAGAGGGAAAGTAAAGGGCAGACTTCCTGGCCTCTCGGATCCTGGCATTTCAAACCTCCTCCGCTCGTCTCTACACAGGCTTACTCATCTCTGGAGAGCCTCAACAGAAGCTCTTCCCTGGATATTCCTGAAATCTGGGGTGCTGTGGGTGGCTAACTAAACAAGACAGCTTTATAGCGGTGGAACCTTGGGTTTAGAACACTCTCCCCAGAAAGCCCCACTGGGCGCCCGCTCTGACATCCTGATGGGGCCAGCTGGAAATAGGGGGTCCTTCAAGGCGAAAGGTGGGGTGGAATTTTTTTTTTAAGAATACATCTTTTTACTTATCTGTGTTATACTGTGTGTTCACAGTCTTTATGCAGCTCTATAAAACCGTTGCTTTAGCTCAGTATTATTATTTCTTTTACAGAACTTTTGCAAATATTGTACAATAAACCATAATAACAAGCCATTTGAAGGGCATGGTACTTATATAAATACTGTACCTTTCTTCTTCTCTGCCCTACCTTTCTTTTTCTTTCTTTCTTTCTTTCTTTCTTTCTTTCTTTCTTTCTTTCTTTCTTTCTTTCTTTCTTTCTTTCTTTCTTTCTTTCATCCTCTCTCTCTCTCTTCCTTCCTTTCTTTAGCTTCCTCTCTATGTTCTGTTTCCACTCTCTCACTCTCTGTGTCCAACATGTGTTTCTGTTAATTCACAGCGTCCTCGTTGAAAGGGAAAGAGAAAGAATGAACCAACAGGAGGGGCAAGGCTTTTTCCAGAGTATTCCAAACTCTGACAGGTAGGGAAACAAGGAAGCTTGGAAAGAGAGCCGCGGGAAGAACAAAAGGAGCAGCCAGGAAGCTTGAATGAAAGGAAGGGAGGAACCATAGGTGAGAAGGAGCTGCTACATATTGAAAATTACATGAATGGAGTCACCAATATGTAGAACAGGCATAACAAGATCAATATTCTTTTAAAAAATACGGTCATAAAGAATCCTTCACTCGGCAAGAGACATGAAAGCCAGAAGTTCATTCTCAGTTGCACACAGAGCAAGGCTCATTCATTCATTCAAGGAGCTGCTGGATAGTGGATAGCTCGCTGGTTTGAAGTCTCTGGCTGAGGAGCCAGAGGTTGGGAGTTCGATTCCCCTTCAGTGCCTGCTTGATGGGCAGAACTGGATGATCCATAGGATCCCGTCCAGCTCTGTGGTTCTAAGGTGTTCGTAGTTTGCAAAGAAGGCTGATGGCGGATGTGCAGAGTAGCAGGGACATTGACAAGTCTTTGAGTCCCGAGTCTTTGGAACCAAATCCTAAGTCTGAGTCCCCATTAAAAACAAGCTTGGAAAAAAAAGGGAGGGGATGGGGGGGGTTTCCAAGTCACGAATCAAGTCCAAGTCATTAAAAAAATAAACAGAGTCAAGTCCAAGTCAAGACTCCGGTGCGACTTAAGTCTGACTTGACAGCAAGTCCTTTTGAGTCCCCCTCTTTGCAGAGGAGCAGGGAGGCACTTTCTCTGTCCCACAGAAGATCATTATGAAAAATAAGGCTAGGAAAGAAAATGGAACTACGCAGAAGGAGAGGAACAACCACCTGAACATCTGATACTTTTTTAATGGTCAAGAACCAGATAAAATATGGTACAGCTGAGGAGAGGAGTCAAGGTCATCCTGCCCAGCAGAAGCACCTCTGCTTTCCATTGGAAGCCGCCAACGGGCTCGTGCCAGCCCTGCAGCTGACCAGGTCTACGTACAGGAGCTATGAGATTCACTGGGGCTCCTTAGGTGCTCGCCTGCCTCCTCTCCAGACTCATCCCACACCACGGGGTCAAAGGCCACGTCGTCGCCGAGGGACAAAGCCTCCTCGTCCCGCTGACCACACACGGGATCTCTCCACCCATTCCAGTCCCGAGCGGCTTTACCTGCAGCCTCTCCCAGCCTGTTGTGGCTGAGATTGAGGGACGCCAGTTTGTGGTTGGTCGCCAAGGCCTCTGCTAGATATTGGGCAGCCTCGCCTCGTCGAAGCTTCAGGGTGACGAGGGTTGCGTTGGCCCGAAGGGCAGCCGACAGAGCCTTGGCTCCATGCACCCTGGACCTGTTCTCTGACAGATCGACATCTAGGGGGGAAGAAACATATTGACAATCACCATCTCTCTCTCTCAGTCTCTCTCTCTCTTTCACAAACACACACACACACTTGCCTTCCAACAACAAAACTTTCTAATTTCATAGAATCATATTTCCAAATCGCTGGTGGACTTGCTGAAGTAGCTTCAGCCAAGGCTATGTTTCTATCCCTTATTGACAGACATGGAATCCTAGAAAAACGGAGTTTGGGGGGGCTCAAAGGCCATCCAGTCCAACCCCCTGCTCAAGGCAGGAATCCAAATCAAAGCAGATCTTACAGAGGCTGGTCCAGTTTTCTCTTGAATGCCTCAAATGTTGGAGGGTTCATCCTCTCCTGAGGTCATTAGTTACATTGTCATACTGCTCTAACCATTAAAATCAAAGCAGATTTTACAGATGCTGGTCCAGTTTTCTCCTGAATAACTCAAATGTTGGCAGGCTCACCCTCTCCTGAGGTCACTAGTTACATTGTCATACTGCTCTAACCATTAGGAGGTTTTTTTCCGGATATTCAGCCTAAATCTGACTTCCTGTCACTTGGCATTTATTACTTACATGTCCTGCACTCCGAGATAACTGAGAACAGACCTTGCCTCTCCTCTCTTGGACTACCTTTCAAGTCTTTGAAAAATGCTCTTATATTTCCCCTCAGCCTTCTTTTCTCAAGGCTAAGCATGCCCAGTTCATTCAGTTTTTCCTCCTTATAGGGCTTGGTTTCATGTCCATCCTTCACAATGTCCTTATTCCCCTCAGATCTTCAAGACATTTTCTCAGAACGAAATATCCATAATTCCTCAACTAGTCCAGCCACATTTTGAACTCCCAAAGAAGGTAAGTTTTCTAAGCTCTGCTTCACCCCTTGACCAGTGGTAGGGGTGGGAGCACCCGAGAGAGCTCTCCCCTTAGCATAACATTGCTTGTGCTCGCCGGGGCTCGTGATCCGCTAGCACGGCCTTCAAGAGGCCAAGTTGACCTCCACACAAGAATAAGGTGCCAGAGCGGGCCTGGAGGGAGAAGCACACTCAGAACTTGGAGTGAAAGGCCTGAAAGGTTGGGTTTCATTAAAGTTCTTCCCTTCTTAGGCTTCGGTGTGAAAGCATACAAGCTACGCTCTTGTTAATTTGGGTCCCAGGGACCTAACGAGGTTCTCATCAACCCCTCTGTCCTGCACATGAGAGAGCCCAGGTGGCACCGCCCGGCTCTCCCAAAAAGCCGGGTTCAAGCCCTCCAAAGGAAGGCGCGCACCTGAAATGAAACAGTTTTCCTTCAACATCTCCGCGATGGCCGCTGTCCCTTCTCCACCCAGCCAGTTGTCGCTCAAGTTTAATTTCACGACGGACGTGTTGTTCGTCAAGGAAAGGGATAGAGCTTTGGCTGCCTGCGAAACAAAAGAGAACAGAAGGAAGTCCACAGCTGAAGACACGTGGGTGTCATAGGAAGCCATGGGCTCGTCGAACGTAGCACTCTGGCTCAAGATTGTGCCAGGGAGGTAAGCCTGTTCCAGTAGGACCCCCTTATCTGCACGGTCCTTATCCACAGTCTGAAAATATAAGAAAATAGAAAAATCCTAGAAATATGTATTTCTAAAGATGAAGTTACCAGAAGAAGCCAGAGACCACACTATGTATAGTGCTAGCTATAAACCATGTTTTTCAGCATCCTTGAGGTTTGTGTGCTTGGAAGCAATCCCTCATGAATGTCGGATCCTACTCTATTTGTTGCAGCCCAAATAGTCTTGGGGCACCTTTCCGATGGACAAGCTGTTGTTATTTTCTTGCATAACCTTTCTTGGGCATAGATTACTTCCTCAGAGGCATGCAGCCTAATATTGAAGTTACATGCTCCTGGGCATGCTCGTTCTGGTTATGTGAGGGGTGGCTTGGAGTGAAAGGGCACTCCACAACATCCGGGGGTTCATACACTCTTCCCACGCGATCCACGCCACCTTTGGCCAGCTGCGTCCTCAGAGCACTTTACAGAGGACGAACAGGCATGTCTCTGTGCAAAAAAAAAAAAATGGACAGGATGCTGACTTTAGAAACTGCAGCCATCAAAAGCCACGGGAGACCCCTTGGTCTCTGGCTCTTTGAAGACAGACTCTCAAGGGAAACAGATGAACAAGAATTCGTCAGAAGCTTGTTAATTTCGTCATATAAATTACTCACTCATCCATGCAAGCGTGAGCTCCCACTTTCCGTGAACCCCTCTGGTTCTGAACGGGACTAAAGAAAGCATTTCCCCAATGTTTACCTTGGGACTGAGGCCATGGTGCGTCAGGATCAGTTCAGAATCTTTCATATGACGTAAAAAATAAGAGATGGGGATGACACCGTAGGTTTGGCAAGTGTGAAGGTACGTGCCTCTTCCTGCAGAGTCATGTGATTTTCTCAACTCTGTCAGAGGAGGGGAAGAAGAAACCAAGTAAGCTATTTATTGCTAAGGTGAATGTATGTGGTTACTAGATATTTTGTACCTATAGGCGCCATTTGTTTGAAGAACTCCAGGGAAAGGACCCTAGATCATGTCACGACACCAAGGTGAGAAACAGAAACACCGAGAAAAGAATCCAGAATCCAAAGCAAAACTCTTCCAATTCAGCAAAACAAAAGCTACAAGATGTTGAGGTTACCAGCAACAACAAACCTGGTGAGTCATCAATTTTTTTTCCACAAATAGTTAGATAAATCCATAGAATCTTGGGGTTGGAAAGGGGTCTCTGTGGCCATGGAGTCCAACCCCCTTTAAAGAGTCTTTAAAAGTCTTTAAAGAGTGCTCTCCTCTCTTCCTTTCAGTCTTTGCAGAAAGAGTAACATCAGAACCACTAACATTTAGAAGCAGTATACCCGTCACCCAGACACTGGTTGATGCTCTTTCTATTTTACTTCTAAGCCAGGGTGGACAAAGTGCAGCTTTCTCGATGTCCCTGGATTGCACGCCATGATTCATCAGCCCTGGCCTCAGCCTCCAGAGCTGAAGGATGATGGGGAGCTGCCTTCCAGGGCCACCAGAACGGCTACAGGTTTGGCATTGCCCTGCTCTAAGACCCACCTTCTATTTCCAGGTCTGTATCCCACTCTTCATCCTCATCTTGATCATCTTCAGACTCTCCCGTGGAATCATCCTCCTCGTCCTCTGTGGAGCAGGTGTGGCTTTTTCCAGTTTCAGTCTGCAGTTCAGCAGCCCAAGTGGAGAGATCCTGGCAAAGAATTGCACATTCAAGATGCTGTCTCTCTCTCTCACACACACACACACACACACAATTAGATCAGACCAAGTAATAGTGTGGAAATCCATCTTTCCTTGAGAAACAAGATCTTGGTTGATTGACATCAGCAACGCTGAGCAGCGAACTAGAAGGATCAGCCATGTTTAAAGGACAGAGCAGAAAGCACCGCTTCGGGAAAATAAATAAATAAAGTTGGCAGGTTCTCAGGACTGCAAGCTCTCTGGGTGTGCTTGGAGAAGATGTTTCAGATGACAGCTTTCACAAGCAAGCAGGGTTAATGCTCAGGAACAGTAATGCCTGAAAGAACCAGTTGGCCAATATGCTTCTCTATGAGTACTTGGGGTTTATTTTTAACACCCTTGTTCAACTGTAGCCTAGCGGTTAGATTGCTGGAGTAGATTCAATGGAAGAACAGGGCAAAGGTGGCCACCTGGTGCCTTCCAGATGTTTTATAGCAACCTTGGGTCCCCAGATGTTCTTGGATTAAAACTCCCAGAAGCCTTCACCACCCGCTGTGCTGGCCGGGGTTTCTGGGAGTTGCAGTCCAAGAACTTCTGGGTGACCCCAGGTTGGGCAACCACGGCTTTAAACCCCAGGTCCCATGGTTCCTGGTCCTCAACCATGTTGGCCGATGGGAGCTGCTGCCGGAAACATCTGGGCGGCCACCCTCTGTTGCCGACTCTTGACCCTCCGAAGCGGGTTGCGTGGGTCATCTTGCGAACCCCACAGGGCAGTGCCCTGCAGCCATCACAGGACTTCAGTCAGCCTGGCCCACCTCGCAGGGACATTGTGAGAGGAGAAGGGAGGAAGGAATCGTCATCATCATGAAGAGGAGGAGGAAAGATGGAGAGCCATTGTACATGATCATATAAAAATCAGAATAAATGAAAATTAATAGAGACAAGAATCAGCCATCATCATCATCATCATCATCATCATCATCATCATCATCATCATCATCATCATCATCATAGCAACTCCAAGACTCTTGCCTCCCGCCCAAAAAAATTGGGCACCCTCCAAAGGCACTGGACTACAACCCCTATCATCCCCAGGCCACATGGCCAGGCTGGTTGGGGATGATGGGGCGCGTAGTCCAAAAGCTCCCGAGGCGGCCGGGGAGGAGGAGGAGCGGCCCGCTGCGAAACTACAATTCCCATGATGCCCCGCGGCCGGCTCTCTAGCCGGCTCGCGCTCTTTCTCTCTCCACCCCGCTTCTCAGCCCGGCTTTCCCTCACCGCCGAGGCCTGAGAGGCGGCGCCGCTTCGAGCGACCTCGGAGGGAGACTCGCTCCCGGAGAGGCGGCCCCCGACGTCGGTCTCCTGCTCCGGCACCGGAGACAGCGACAGCTTCGGCTTCGGCATGGCCGCGCCTCGGGCCTAGGCTGCCTCCGGCTGCCATGGCAACGGCGACGCGACGATGGCGGAAGGAGGGTGTGGAGGAGCAAGGCTTCGGGCGGAAGGGGCGGGCTCGTTCTGGGGATGGCGCGATGCCATTGGACGAAGCTATGGAGCCGGTGAGCCTATCAGGTCCCTCAGAAGGGCCAACGCCCCTCCTGTGTCTTCAATCTCGGCGGCACTGCAGGTTCCCCTGTGGCTACAGAGAGACCGGTGGGAAGTTCTGTGGCCACAGGTTCGAATCCCGCTTGGAACCCTTGTGGCCTCTGGCGTGCAGAGTAGAGGAGACGACACAAGAACATAAGCTCACTAAGAGCACACAGATTTCACAATAAAGCAACGAAGAAAACTAAAGTTGTGTTCTTGAATTAATTGGAGAATGAATTATAATCAATACAATTAGTTTTGGTGTTCGAATTAATTAAACTTTAATTGATAATTAATTCTAAAACAAACAATGAAAACAGCTGAACAGTGACACTATGTTCTAACCATAGCTCTAGAGATCATTGTCGATTGTGGATCATTTTAATCTGCAATCCGTTTTTAGTATTACTTAGTTAAACTGTGACTGATAAAAAAAATTACAATGAATTGTAGAACTAATTTTAGAACGTCATAATAGAATGAGTTAATGTTCATATTTCGCCATTTGCCTTATTTCCTCATTGAAAAATTTGTATAGCGTCCTGTATTATTCCCTTGCACCCAGAAACAACAGAGAAGGGGATTCAGTTTTGGAGGTGGAACTTTAAAAATGTAACTTTTCCAAGCACTCTGGGTTATAATGTTTGGAAACATGATCTATCGAGAGAGAGCATCCCATCCTGATTTGAGCGAGCCCCCCCCCAGTCTTCCATCTGAACAGCTGTCAAATCTCTGTTTGAAGGGGGGTTTCCTCCATTTGTAAGGCTGTCTCAGCCCCAAGATAAAGATCCAGTAAGAGAAAGGAGATTGGGGACCTTGGAATATTCCATCATCCACCATGAACAGCTTGAGGGCAGCAAACACGGGCGCCTAAGGGGACTGATCTGCAGGTCACCCTCTTCCCCGCTCAGGTCCAAGGCCGGGTCATTCTGCTTAAATGGCAAGTCATCTCTAATTTTGCACCTACACAGATAAATGACATAGCATATGCTGCTTTATGCAAACCAATGTCTTTTTTTTCCTCCTCCACCCTTTTTGGTGATGCATCTCTTTTGCAGTGGACACCCGGCCTCTCCATCCATCTCTCGCTCCTCCTGCTGCTTCAGAAGCGGCTGAGAGAGGCTCTCCTGCCTCTAGGGAGGTTTTGCCTCCTTTAAAAAAGATGCTTCTTTGGTTTTTAAGCACCGTCTGGGCTCAGGGCCAAGGGGTGATGTTCACAGCAGCGGCTGTCCGCGGCTGCTGGCATTTCCCAGCCGGCTGGCGATGGAGGAGTCCTGCCTCGGCCTGCTGGATTATAAAACGGAGAAATTTGTCCTCACCCGGAATAGAAGAATCGGGGTGTTGCACCGCCTGATTCAGCTTGGGATCCTGATTTACATCTTTGGGTAAGAGGGGAGGCGGCGGGGAGTTCCGCGGGAGAGTCGTGGACATGATTTGCAATGCTAAAATTGCCAAGTCATGGGTATTTTGAGGGCTCTGGGACTAGCTCTGAAGATTGCAGCAGCTGGTCGAAAAGCAAACTCCTGCGTCCTCTGGAGTTTTGGCGCAGCTTTTAACCCTGCAAGGAAGTGCTGATAAGTCTGTGCTAAAATGATTGGTGCCGTTTCTTCCCAAAGTGCTATCAGAGACCAAGGGACAGAAGCCTTTGCTTACAACCTAAGGGCACAATTAGATGGCAGTTCGTTCCAATGTTAGGTCTGCTCCGAGAGGAAGCTAATTTACTCCTTTTCCTGCCTGCTGCAGGATGTAATTCCTATCACGAGCCAGCCCATCCATGATCCGTGTGCTACCCACACCTTTTCGGCTTCTTGTCAAGAGTCTACTGTTGTTGTTTTTTTCCTTCTCTCTCTCTTTTTCTGCTGCATTTAGGATCACTCTGCTTTGGTTCGATTCCAGCATGTGTGTTTCCTGAGATTGAACCAAAATGGATGGCTTTGAGCTGACTGTTAAAGCCATCCACTGGAAAATTGAAAGCTTCCTCCCATCCTCTGTGGGGGGGGGGAGAGGAAGCAACTATTGGGTTGGTTGGTTGGTTGGTTGGTTTTGGGGGGGGGGGAGAGAAAGCAATTATTGTGTTGGTTGGTTGGTTTTTCAGCCTTGTGGGGTAGCACATGATGCCTTTGAGAAAAGAAAATGTTAATTGAAAGCTTAAGGGACTCTATTTAACCCATTCCAGCCCACTCTAATTTAGCTACCTTGTTGCACCCTAAGACGCTAGTTGTGTGGCTTACCCACTCATAAATAAGCATTCTTCCACAATCACACATACTCTCACTCTTAACAATGTAATTATGTTTTCATAAAGTCTTGCAAACTTAGCTGAGAGACAGAACAAAGAAAATAAAAAAAATTTCCAGAATGCAAAAGAGTTTCTAAAGTCCAACAGGAATCTTTCTGTTTGATGCAGCTCTGTGGAACAGCTACCTTTGAACCCAGGTCTCCTGAGTCCTGGTTTACAAAGAAAACGACAATTTTCCAGAATGCGAAAGGGTTTCTAAACAGCAACAGGAATCTTTCTGTGAAACAGCTACATTTGAACCCAGGTCTCCTGAGTCCTGGTTTTACGCTCTATCCCCTGCACTACACAGGCCCTCACCTAAATAGGCAGTTTTCAGTAGATTCTTGTGTGTAAATAATCTTATTGATCCTAGCATCTGAATCAGACCGACAATTTTCCAGAATGCGAAAGGGTTTCTAAACAGCAACAGGAATCTTTCTGTGAAACAGCTACATTTGAACCCAGGTCTCCTGAGTCCTGGTTTTACGCTCTATCCCCTGCACTACACAGGCCCTCACCTAAATAGGCAGTTTTCAGTAGATTCTTGTGTGTAAATAATCTTATTGATCCTAGCATCTGAATCAGACGTTGGTTTAAATAAAACAGGCCTGCTTTTGAATCTCTGAAAAGGGAGCCGGCCTGGTGAGCTTTTAGGGGAAAGTGTTGCTACCATTAAAAAAAGGCCCCGCTTCTTGCAAATTGTCCTAAAGGGGTGTTGGAGCAAAGAGTCTTCTCTCATTATCTCCAAAGATCATGATGCCGCTCCTAGGGGCTGCTGGAGTTTCCATGAGCGCCTTGGCTTCTTGGTGTTTGCTTTGTTTTGGTTTCTTGCTGCATGACAGATGGACGCTCTTAGCCAAAAAGGGCTACCAAGAAAGGGACACCGATCCCCACGTCTCTGTGATCACCAAGTTGAAAGGAGTCTCTGTCATACGGGTGAAGGAGCTTGGAGATCGGCTGTGGGACGTGGCGGATTATGTCAAGCCTCCTCAGGTAAGCTTCTGCCTTGGGGAAATGGTAATATTTAAACAGATTGTAGTGTTGATTGAAATAGCAAAGGAAGGAAGGACTTTATTTTGAAATGTTGTTCCAATATATGACTATATTCTTTCCTAGAGTTTGCAAAAGTTACTCTTTTTATATACAGTGGTGCCTCGCTTAACGATGATAATTGGTTCCCAAAAAATCGCTGTTAAGCGATTTCATCGCTAAGCGAAACACAGTTTCCCATAGAAATGCATTGGAAACTGGATAATCCATTCCAATGGGAATGGATTGCCGTCCTTAAGCAAAAATCACCATAGGAAACATCGCTAAGCAAAACACGGTTCCCCAATTCAAATGCATTTAAACCCATTCAATGCATTTCAATGGGGAGAAAAAAATTACAACAAATTTAAAAAGAGTCGGAACAAAGTCAAATTAGTTTAACAAAGGGTTTATTAAGTGCACTTATGATTTCAAGCATTCTAAACATTTTTAAACATTTTTAAACATTTAAAAAACAGCCAACATGAGGCTGTCAAAACCATCGTCAGCGAAACAGGGGGACCCAAACTGTCATCGCTATGCGAAGCATGGTCCCAAACATCGCTATGTGAAAATCGCCCATAGGAACCATTGTTAAATGGAGCGCAAGATCGCTCCGAAAAAGTCATCGCTAAGCGATTTCATCGTTAAATGAAGCAATCGCTAAGTGAAGCACCACTGTATAAGCAAAGTCCAGAACTGCACAGACTAAGGCTCTGGCTTTTCGGGACATTTGCCAGCATGAGGAACATCTTGAAAACGATGTCAGTCCTGTCCTTAAAGCAAAGGGTTGTGGGTTTTTTTTTAAGTATGTGATTTGTCTGATTTTCTTTGTAATTGTCTGCTCACCGTTGTTAACTTTAAATATTGTCTTTTAAGGAGGCAAGCCACCTTGGGTCCTTTTTAAAGGAGAAAGGTGGAGCAAAAATATTTTAAATAAAAAAACTGGTAATCGGATTCTGACCAGGAAATTCCTTCATGGCCCATTTGGGCCCACTTTTGTTGTCACTCACCTCCAAGAGTTCTCGATGGTTCCCTGAAGACCGAATCCCATGTTCTGCCCAACGGAAGCCATGTTGTAGGAAAACTGAACCTGTATTTTTTTTCCCCACACGTTTCCTAGGGAGAAAATGTTTTCTTTCTGGTGACCAATTTCATTGCCACTGTGAAGCAAGTGCAGGGGGTTTGCCCAGAGGTAGGTCATCTCTTTTCTCGTCTGCCTCCTGGCCGTTTCACCTTCTTCTACAGCTTGATTGGATCCTGCAAGCCAAGGTGGGTCCCTTCGTGCCTTTCCTGCTCACCCCACCGAGGCTCCCCAGCGTCTCCTGGGTCATTTGGGTCCGTCGTGTGTTGGTGCCTACAAGCAGCTTGTTTTCCTCTTCTCTGATCTTTTGTAGCATCCTTCTGTCCCTGACGGGAATTGCCGGAGAGATTCAGACTGCTCTGAAGGACAGCCTGTCGTCCATGGGAATGGTAAGAAGGGCTTTGATCCTGCTTCCCAACCAACTTAAGCTCCAGTTCTTGGTTTGACACCAGTTTGCTATTAGAGATTGATCCTGCCCAGCAGTTTGTGCTTCCTCAACCTGCCATCACAGAATCACAGCACAGTGGAGTCGGAAGGGGTGCCCAAGGCCATCAGCGCAGGAGTCCAGATCAAAGCACACCGGGCAGAGAGTTTTTCTGAGTCCTCTTGATCGAGACCAAATTTTGTTCTCTTACAGGTGTGAAAACGGGGAAGTGTGCCCCTTTTAACACGACCCACCGCACCTGTGAGATCTTTGGGTGGTGTCCGGTGGAGGACGCGACCTTGCCCAGGTACAGTTTCTCCTCCTCTTGGCTCCTGTTCCAAACGCAGGGGTTTCCCACCTCGGATCACCCAGGTGAGCTTGGACTGCAATTCCCAGAAGCCTTCACCACCCGCTGTGCTGGTCAGGGTTTCTGGGAGTTGCAGTCCAAGAACATCTGGGTTTCACAAGGTTGGGAATGACGGGGCTGCTGAAGCCTTCTGCGTAAGCTGGGTCAAGAGGCTTTCCCTACTTCTTCTCCCCTAAAGACTTTGTGTCATCCTTCAAACTGTATTCAGTCAACCGGGATGGAACAGACTGCACAATAAAAGTCCGGCTGGGTCAGAGACTTTCCCTACTTCTCCTCCCCTAAAGACTTTGTGTCACCCTTCAAACTATGGAGCTTCTCCAAGGCTGATAGTATCCCTCAACCCCCCACTACCACCACCTTTGGGTGGTGTGGTTGCTGCTTGGGCCACTCAAGGACCAGCACCCAGAAAATTAATTTTGTGTCCCAGCTGTCGGTCACAGGCTTGCATGGATCCCCGGAGTTCCCAGTTCAAGCTAGGCAGAAGGAGGATTACCTGGGAAAAAACCATGGAGCTTCTCCAAGGCTGATAGTATCCCTCAACCCCCCACTACCACCACCTTTGGGTGGTGTGGTTGCTGCTTGGGCCACTCAAGGACCAGCACCCAGAAAATTAATTTTGTGTCCCAGCTGTCGGTCACAGGCTTGCATGGATCCCCGGAGTTCCCAGTTCAAGCTAGGCAGAAGGAGGATTACCTGGGAAGCCTATTGTAGTTGGGAAGAAAAAAAAAGGAGGCTTTGAAAAGTTGATATTGTTGGACAACAACTCCCAGAAGTCTCCAGTTGATAGGGCTGGTGGATTAGGGGTCATCCAAAGCAGAAACTCATAGCTCTGGGAAAATGTGATTTGAGAAGGACATCATTTGCCCGGAGAGGGCCAACTCTGTCTTCTGGCCAAAAGGCAGCTTTAAAGGGAATAGACAAACCTGCCTGGCTTGTCTTTCTTGTCTGTTTATCAGAAATCCTTCACTGAATTTCTCCACGATTCCCTTGCAGGAAACCACGTCTGGCCGAAGCAGCGAACTTCACCCTCTTTATTAAAAATACGGTCAACTTTTCCAGGTTTAACATCTCCAGGTAAGCTCTGAGACCAAGTGAGCTGTGGGTGAAGCAAGCGGAGATCTTTAAACCAGCTGGAAGCAGGGTGTGTTTTTTTCAGAGGAGAATGGGGTCTTGAAAGATGAAGAACTTGCGGCTTGTGTTCTTTGGGGACTGGAAGTAATGAATTATATGTTAAGTATTTATCTTTCCTAAATTACTTTGTTGAACAAGCAGAGCATCACCAAAATATATTTCAAAATTAGTGAGAGCAATGTTTATTGGTGTCAAGATGTCGAATGGGCCCCAGTCCTCTCAAGCCAAGGGCTGATCTGGAGCTGGCCGTGGTGCTGATCGTCCCGGCCACCTTTGCTTTGTGGCCTTTACAGAACTCGCCCAAACTCAACGAAGGATGTACGAGAGCAGAAGCTTAGCCTGCTCATCCATGAACTGAAGAGGTCTTGGTTTCATCAGAAGCCTACCACCACCACCTTGGAGACAGAAGGACATGCCTACCACCACCACCACCTTGGAGACAGAAGGACATTCAACGTGGATACCTTCACTACACCTATGGAAGATTTAGAAGGGGGAGCCTTAAGCTTTGTTTGAATAGACTCCATGTGTAGAGATTGAAAACACAAACTCGTCTCTGCTGAATTATGAGAAACATTGAGGGGGAAGGTCTTAGACTACAAGTCTTGGAGTGGTATCGCTAGCAAGGCTAGTGGCCATGATAACTATGGGGGATCTGGGGGGGAGCCCAGTGTGTTCCATCTTTGAGCCTTATAGCTAAAACCACATCTCTGATTATGAGCCTACTCGAGTGTTAAGATCACCAGGAAAGGCATTTTCATTGGGTCCCACCATCCTCATGTGTGTATTTGGTGGGGACATGGGAGAGGCCCTTCTCTGTGGCTGCTCCCAGGCTCTGGAACTCCCTGACACTGGAGGCCTGACTGGCCCCATCTCGGCTGTCCTTCCGCAAGCAGGCAAAGACCTTTCTCTTCAAGCAAACTCTCCCTCAGAGACTATCTGTCTTAAGAGAGTTTTTAAAATGAATTATTTTACCATACTGCTTTGAATGTGTTTTGGTGTTGCTTATGGTTTTTAGTACAGTATTTGATCCTTTCTGTGTTTGTGTGCTCAATATTGTTAACTTTAAATGCTGTCTTTTAATGATGTAAGCTGCCTTGGGTCCTTCTTAAGGGGAAAAGTGGGTAAAAATATTTTAAAGTCAACCAACCAACCAATCCTGGAGAGGAGAGAGGAAGAGTTAGGACTGGGAGATCTTGCTAATAAGATGCTCATTTTGTGTCTAAAATCTGAGCAGAATCCAACCAGCTGTCTTTTGTATCGACGAATTTTCATCCAATTGGTTTCTGGAAGATGGTGATTCCATCCCTTGGTTCCTTTCAGGACCAACACATTGGAGACGACCGACGACTCCTACTTCAAGAGCTGTCGGTACGATGCCCTGGAAAGCCCATATTGCCCCGTCTTCCAGATCCACGACATGATCGAGGCAGCTGGGGAGAGCTTTGAGGAGCTGGCGCTCTGGGTACGTTCCCTGCCGCTTGCATCTCTAGCTTGGCCAGCGGCCTCCTTCGACGTATGCTCTGCTTTCTAGGGACGGAGCAGCAGTGAAACGGAGGACTCTCTGGAGCCCCCTGCCTCCTTCCATGAAATATAAATTTCCAAGGAGTGGGCACTAAGAAATGGGCGAGGAGGCTGGAAGGATAGGCAGGGATGAGAAGGGGTTGATTTCCCACCTGGCCTGCATCTGGATCCAGTCCGAGAGCATCACAGCAGGATGTGGTGGGTGACTTGTTATTGCAGCCTCCTGCGAAGCTATTTCTGACCTGAGAAGGGTCTTCAAGCTGGGTGTGAGGTCTCTCAGACTGCGGGCTGCTAACAGACCGTTCTCTCTTTCTGTACCCATCTGCCCTGTTGTGGGTCTTACACAGGGGGGAGCCATCAGCCTGCGGATCAGCTGGAACTGTGACTTAGACCGACCCCCTTCCGAATGCAACCCAAGCTATTCCTTCAACCTCCTGGACAAGAAGTTCAATTTCAGGTGGGCGCGCCAAGAGAATGATTGCATTTCTGTGTCCATAGCGCTCAAAAGGCAAAGGGGCCTAGGCATCGAAGAGCTAAGGGCTCTACTCTGCAAAGGGCAGGTGATGCCTTTATTGGGCCACTGGAACATTGGACAGCTAGCTTTCAGCCTAAATCAGTTTTCCTCACCCCACGCACCTATATTTTGGCATCTTGGAGGATGATGGCTGTACCAAGTCTGCTTCCTAAAGCTGAGTTCAGAGATGCAGGCTCCACGGCAGCATCTATACCCCGTGTCAACACGCCCACCTGCAGATCACAAAGTGATGATGCATAGAGGTGCTCCTGAGCATGTGCAGAAAGCGTTTCTCATAGCACTGAGTATCTACCTAGCTTCTGCTTGTCAGCAGAAAGATCCTGGGCTGGAGAATATGAGCTTTAGAGGATACTCGGGGATTGAGTATCTACCTAGCTTCTGTCTGTCTTCACATCTGTCTCTTTGGCCAGCTTGAGAACAGTGATTGACCAGGGAGCCCCAAGCGATGGGTGGGTAGGTGGATCCGTGGCCTGAACACCCCCTTTCTGTAATCCATTTGCAAACTTTACAAGGATGCTATTCACCCCTTGTTCGCCATCAGCAGCATTTGCCAAAAACTGAGGATTTTGTGCTGAAATTACACACCCAAAGGCATGTATTTGTATAAGATGGAGCCTTCCACGTTTAGTGAAATTTTGCATTTTGGAGGGCAAGGGGGACTTTTCTGATGCAAAACACAGGGGCTTTGCACAAGGATGTTTCTGAAATCAACACTCTGCTTGTAGACTATAATTTTACGCCTCCTTGAGTTTTTTAGATTATTATCTCTCTGAGTTTTTATTTAACTTGGTTGTTGTTTTGTTGCTTTTTATTTCTGTAAGCTTCCCAGAATAGTACATTGCATGAATGGGGTAGTACATAAATGTAAGAACTAACTAACTAACTAACTAACTAACTAACTAACTAACTAACTAACTAACTAACTAACTAATTTAATTTAATTTAATTTAATTTAATTTAATTTAATTACACTTTGAAAATTCAAGGTGCCTTTGCTGAAACAGATTCGCACGTCTGTCGCTTTGGCCAGCGTGAGAACAGTGGTTGACCAGGGAGCCCCAAGCGATGGGTGGGTAGGTGGATCCGTGGCCTGAACACCCCCTTTCTGTAATTCATTTGCAAACTTTACAAGGATGCTATTCACCCCTTGCCTGGTCTCTTTTCAGGACCGCCTCCTATTACCAGGACCCCCTCCACCGGCGCTCCAGAAGCCTGCTGAAACTCTACGGCATCCGCTTTGACATTTCCGTCCATGGGCAGGTGAGAACCTGGATCTTTCCACAGCTGGTGGAGAAACCCAGCAGGAAACCTATTCATTGTCCCCGCTCTTAATTCGATGCTGCCCACCTCCCCAGGGCGCTGCTGTCATCTAGCGTAGCACAGCCCCCTTTCTCATTCACCCTGATCCCGGGGGCCCACATTCCCATTCATCTCCCTTCCCTTGCCCTCAAAAGACCCTTTCCTTTGCTTGTCTCCCGGCACCCAAAGGAACACAATGAAGTGTGAATGGATTCTGTTAACGCCACTTATGGAGAGAGAGAGAGAGGAACAGTTATTCCCCTAAGTCTTGGTGGTTTTTTTCCTATACGGTTGTGAAATTCTCCTGCCAGATCCTATCACAGCTAAAGGAGAAAGAAGTAGGGAATGCAAAGTCTACTCTGAATGCTACAATCACAGAGTTTAATGCTCAGCGGCTCTGGGTTGGGTGGAGAGACCCTTGGGAGTCAAACTCTGGCCTGGCCTGGCTATGGACACCCACAGCCCTGGGTCCAAACTGGCCTTCCAGGGGTCTGGATCAGGACCACTGGGGTCCCATGCGACCCTCGCCGATGGGTTTCCAGCATTTCTGGGTTTTACCCATTCAAAAAAAATGGAGAAGTTTCGCTGGCCATCCTGTTTTCATTTTCTCCTTCTTCCCTTTCTCAACCCAGGCTGGGAAGTTCAGCATCGTCCCCACCGCCGTCAACTTGGGAACAGGAGCCGCCCTGCTGGGTGCGGTGAGTATCCCTCCGTGTTCTCCAGATGCGTTGGACTACAGAGCCCACCAACCCCAGGCAATCCAGCTCCAATGTGGGGAGTTGCTGTCTGCAAGTTCCTGGTTCAGATTGGGCTCAATTTACACACAGCGATTTTAGAACGGCTCCATTTCCCACAAAATTAATATTACTATATTATGTTGAAGAACTATTTAATCAAAGACATGACAGTGGGACACACTCCCATCTGCTGGATCAGCATTGTTAGATTCACTTTTCCGCTGTCTGGAAATATTAATTTTTTAAAAAACAGTGTATTTGCCAGAACTAGCCAGTAGAGGGAGGCAGAGACCAATCAATGTATAGGTTTGCTACTTCCACATTTTTTTGGCATCTGCAGGGGCGCCAGCTTTGAACTGTGGACACTATGATCCTACTATACTTATTTAAAAGTGTTATCTTTTTTTCGGGGAGGGGGGCTGACATCATCCTGAATGATGAATGGAGGTTTTTGCTCTCCTAGGCCACGGTGGTCTGTGATCTTATTCTCCTTTACCTTGATACCAAAGCTGAATTCTACTGGAGTGAAAAGTACGAGGAGGTAATGAGATGCAAATAAGGGCTAGCTGAGCATGTGCGGCACTGGGGCAAGATCTAGTTCTGCTGGCCGATCTCCAGGTGGTGAGCAGAACATCAGCAAGGAGTTCTGGTTCCTGGTTGGGTAATACCAGCATGGCAACAATGGAATGATTTTCCCCAGCCCGCCCTGTCCCAATCTATCCTGATAAAAGGATGAACCATGTCAGACTGCGTTTGGCAGGGCTGTGAGCTGCATTCGGCTCTGGAGAGATTTTGGAGAGCCTCCTGGGCCGTGGTGAAACTGCAGTACTGCAGTCTAGACTCCATTCATGACCTGAGTTAGATCCCGACAGGCTCAAATAGCTGGCTCCAGGTTCACTCAGCCTTCCAACCTTCCAAAGTCAGTCAACTGAATCCCCATCTCGGCAGGCAGGGGGGGGGGTCAATGCGCAGCCTACATAATTACATTGTGAGCCACCCACAGAGAGCTTTAGGCAGCACCTACTGCTTTGCTTCACTTAGACATCTCTACAGGTTCCAGGATCTCTTCCCAACAGCCATGCTCGCGCCCTCGCCCGGGGGGGGGGGGGGGAGTGTCTCTGGAAGCCCTGGTGAGGTGGTGTGGCTGCCTGGACAGGGATTACATTGCTGGGCGGGTGGGGTGATCCGTTGGCCCTACTTCCCCCCCCCCACAGGAGCAGCTGTAGGAGTGCAGGAGCTTATGGGGAAAAGCTGTCTGAAGGAGTTTAATAATCATCATCATCATCTTACACCTTCAGAGCTAGAAGGGACCCTGTGGATCATCCAGTCCACCCCCTGTCCAGGAGGCCCAGTGGGGGGAATCGAACTCCCAACCTTTGACTCCGCAGCCAGAGACCTCAACCCCTGAGCTATCCAGCAGGGTTTGGAGGCTTCTGTGTTGTATGGACGTCCTCTCTCATGTCCGGCTTCCCCTGATCTTCCCATGCCCTGCCTGCCCTTCACCTTTCTATGGGGCCACCGTCTTTCCCTCTGAGCCCACTTCCAAGCAATTCCTCTGCTGGCCAGACCTCCAGGAAGACCTCCCGTATACTCCAGTTCCCACCCACAACACAACCGTCCAATCTGGGCGGCCGTCGGATCCTGACCTCTGGCCTCTTGTCTCTTACAGGCCAAGCCCCCCAAAGACGAAGCGAAGGCGCCCACTCAACCTCCCAAGCCAGAGGCGTCGTGAAGCGAAAGACCTCACGTAGGGTGGCCACGTTGAGCGGACAAGACCTCTGCTGGTGATTCTGGACGCATTTGGCCTCCCAAGAGTTGACGCTTTGATACCTCCCGGAAATGTCTATGCAAAGAATCTCAGGTAGGAGGGAAAGGCTGCCCAGCAGCGTGACTCTCCCGGAGTGCCAAAGACCCACAGAGAGCCACGACTACTGAGAAGAGAAGGACCTTATCAAGTCACCAACGATGGGGAAACGGGTGGGCTATCATCGCCGTCGGACACTGAGTCAACCTTTTCTTCCACTGTCTCGATTTTGTGCCACTTGGGTTCCTCCAGAAGGAAATGAAAACAAGACACTCAACTCAGTGGCTGTAGCCTTTTTCGCCAGCGCTAAGTCAGTTCTGGGAACCCTTAAGCTCAGAGGCTGAATCAGGCCCTCTTGGTGGTGGTGGTGGTGGGGAATCTGTCCACCCTATGGGTCCCAAACTGGCTCCTCTGAGTCTCTCCTGGAGGTCATGACACCTTCCTAAGGAAGCTATTGTCTGCTGGTTTGGGTGCCGCTTGGGTGGCATTTTGGGGTGGAGATGCCTCTCTTAAGGTGGAGTCACAGGCAGTGACAGAGTGATGCTCAAAAGAGCCAACCACTTCGATCCCATCCTTTCAGCTTTGGAAGCTCCTACCCATAACCAAGATGCCAACTCCGAGAACTTCAATGAAACTGAATTTGGACCTCATGCTGGGTGAGCTTTCTCCCCCTCACTCTAAAAATTGCTCTAAAAAGCTACCACCTTGGTTTAAAAAATGCATAAATTGCTACAGAATTGGAAGGGGGTAGTTTTTTTTCCCTTTGAACCACAGGATGTAAAATCAAAGGCATACCAATCAGTCTGGAGTTCTCCTTGCAATCCATAGTTTATGGCTCTGTCACTGGGGCTTCTAAAAAACAACAACACAGATCTATTCACATTAGTTCAGACAGGCGGTCACTTGAAGCAATGCAGAAAAGCTATTGTGACAACACGTACTTGTGGAAAAGGTGGGCAACACTAACTATCAAAGAAGCAGATAAGATAAATAACAACAACAGGTGAACAAGGTTACGTTGGTCATATCTGTGAGAAGTAAAGGATTGGTTATATCAGTGAGAAAAAAATTAGTGACCCTCTCTCCGTCGGCATGATCTCTCTCTCTCTCTCTCTCTCTCTCTCTCTCTCTCTATCTATCTATCTATCTATCTATCTATCTATCTATCTATCTATCTCACACACACACACATACACTTTTCTTTTTTAAAAACAGCCTGTTGCCAAAGTTGTTGCATGAGGGCACGTAGACATCCTCGACGAATATTAACAAGAGGAGGAAATGAAAGGAGGAAACCCTTGTTTACAGTTAATTAAGGAGTTCCCCCATAACTGTGTCTTCCTGCAAGAAAAAGCTGCAAACAAGCTGCAGACAAGGCTTTCCTCATCTCTTCTGGTTCAGCCAGTGAATGCGAACAAACCTGGGAGAAACCCTGGTGCAACTTCACTGGGAGTGGGTGGGTGAATCTGCATTTCCCTCCCTTTGTAGTTGCACCCTTAGACAGTCTTACTCTACAGGCATCCCATAGAAACTCCTCCTCTTCATTAGGGGGGTGTCTTCAGTCCTTCAGGGGATCCTATGCAGAGAGAGGTGCAGGTTCAGGGCTAACGGGTGCCTGGCTCCCCCAGCTGACCTTTCTCCACTGGGGCCCCCCTCGGGTGCTCCTCTCCCCCGGCCCGGCCCTGTCCGGCCCCTCTTCGAACTGTTTCAGGTAGAACTGCATGGCCAGTTGCTTCGTCATCCCTCGGAGGGCGAAGGAGGCAGCGGTGATCTCAGAGGCGAGGAAGAGGAGGAGGACCAGGTGCACGGCAATCTCCAGGGGCAACTTGAGGACGTATGGGTCGACCAGGATGAAGAGCAGGGTGGGCGTCTCTATCAGGAAGGACAGAAGGACAAAGCCGGCCAGCTCTGGGACCTGCAAGGGCAGAAAGGAGAGCCTTGTTCTTCGAAGGTCAGGTTGGAAGAACAAAGCATGCTTTGGTGATGCCAGAACATCCTCAGAAACTGGAGTGCAGTAAGTGAGTTCCCCGCTCAGAGCGGACACATTCTAGATGGGCGGTATATAAGTTCAACAAATAAGTGCTCCACAGATGGGATTTGGCCAGATCTTTGTGACCCAAGTGATCATCATTGCAAATGAAGCTGATTTTAGGCAGCAGGACACCTGACTCCCAGCTGGCCTCTCTGAGCCCGTCGGGAGACAGGTGGCCAGTTAATCCTCTGGGAAACCAGAAGAGCTTGTAGGGTGACAACCAGACAGCTTTTCATGGTGGAAGAACTCCTGCTGTTGACGACGTGCTCTCAGGAGCATCTGGTTCAGTCCCCAAGCTGCTGTGTGACACGGAACGGCGTGCGGACCAATGCCATGGGGTGCAAGCCCCAGAAACCATTCTGTCACAGGCCACAAGGTGACGATACGTTTCAGCTTCTGGCCATCCACACAGATATCGTCCCGATCATCCTTCCCTGCACCCTGCCAGCTAGAATAAGGGGTGGTGGTGGGGCCCACCCACCCCCCAGAGTAGCTCACCTTCTCCTGCAAATTCCCAAGGTAGCCAAGGTAGAGGCGCGAGCCTTCGACCAGGATGATCATCAGATATGCGGCCACGTGCAAGACCTGGTAGTAGGTGGGCAACAGGCAATACTGGAGGAAGGTGAAAAGGAGACGGATGAGAAAGATACGTTGTCTATCCAGCAAAACAACAGCTCACTCCCAACATGAGACGGTGGAACTCCCTGCCACCTGTTGCGTGCCTGTCCCAGCTGGTTCTCCTCCCCCAATGACTTTGTGAAGAAAAAGAGATGAAGCAACGGAACAAATAAGAAGTGGTTCAGAGAGAAAACCAGCTGCCTTGAAACTCATGAAGACTCCTTCTTGCAGATTCACAAGAGGGAGAGTTTGAAAGCTTATGACCTTGTTTGCGAGACCCGAACACAGATCTCTGCTGGAAGATCACTAGGTCTACTGAACGAATCATGGCCTTTGTGCCCCTGAAAGTACCTGCTTCCCTTTTGATCATTCTGGCTGCCAAAAAGAGAGAGAGAGAGAGAGAGAGAGAGAGCCTTCTTATGATCTTGTTTGCGAGACCCGAACACAGATCTCTGCTGGAAGATCACTAGGTCTACTGAACGAATCATGGCCCCTGTGCCTCTGAAAATACCTGCTTCCTTTTTGGTCATTCTGGCTGCCAAAAAAAAAGAGCCTTGGAAAAGTTGTTTCCTTGGACTACAACTTCCAGCATGCCCCCCACCAGCACTGTTGCAGATCAGGGTGATGGGGAACGATGGGAGTTGTTAGAAGACGTTCTCTGGACCTGCTGTGGTTTGCCTGTGTGCCTTCCTTCAAAGGTGGACCTCACAGGGTAGACCTTTTATTAAGACTGCTCTGGGAGCTACAGAGGGCAGGGAACCGGTTTCACCCGGAGCTTTGCACCACCAGCAGCCTCCACGCTCCGCTCAACGCTGCCTCCACCACCCACCCTAAATTGCCCCAAAGGATCCCTTAAAAGCAGACTGACAAAACACAGCCCTCAGCAGGCCCGCGGATACCTTGAGCTCCAGCATCACTCCCTCCGAGAGGCACCAAAACGGGAAATAGAAGGCGTTGAAGTAGAGCATCATCTGCAGCGGGAGGCTGGAAAGCACCACATGCCCTGAGCGGGATGCAAAAAGGAGCAAGGAAGGTGGGAAGGGACAGGTCATGGAGGGCATTGTTTCCTGCAGAACGATGTGTGTTTTGGCCCGCCAAGTCAGAACTGACTTTTAGAGTCTAACAAGTCTCTGTCATTTTCAAGGTATGTGAGGGCTTTTTTCAGGAGTTTGCATGGCCAAGCAGAGATTTGAACCCAGGTCTCCAGGTAATCCAGATGAAGTTAATTCTCTACCTAGAGTCTGGTTTCTGTGATACTCATTGCATTGCTAAGGGTAGTAGGGGGTATGGAAGGAAATTAGTGCTGCTGAGCGCAGAACCCCCTATTTTGGAGTTCAGACGTATCCAGGCATGCACTATTCTATTCTATTCTATTCTATTCTATTCTATTCTATTCTATTCTATTCTATTCTATTCTATTCTATTCAACTGCCTTTCAAAAAGACTGTCCAAAGCTGGAAGGCAAACTCAACAGTCAGTGCCATCAAAAAGGGGGCGGCAGCGATAAAATGAGCAGTTGCACCCTTTGTCTGCACATCCATGGGGCTCACAAAAGAAAAATCTCTCCTTCTGTCAAACACTGAATTTTCAGCCTTGCATATAAACGACTGCATCACCATTAGTCTCCCAGGGCAGGCAAAGCGGATGGCTACGGGTTCCTTTTCAGAAACGTTCTTTTTATATGGCTGGGTGAGAAGACCCACCGTGGGTCGAATCCATGTCTGGGTATGTATCTGAAAAGGTACCTGATTTGTATCAAGATCCATGATTGAGAACCAGACCTACCTCCCTGTATTCTGTTTCTTGTTCTCAGTCAACTCTTGATATAGTTTTAAAGAAATCAACAAACCAACCGGCAGGAGACACAGGAAGAAAGGGAATGTTTTTCTAGGGATTTTGAGGGTGGATGAAAACATTTTTCCCCAACCGGGGGTGCATGTGAGCTTTTGTTTTTTAAAAAAGTAACTTTCCCAAACTCTGAATAAGACACATTGGTTTTATTACTGTGCTAAAAACAACAATAATCATCTAAGGCCCACATTCCATTCTGTTTTCAAAGACCAGGAGCATCCCATGTGGCTTAATTTAGAGACTATTTGCTTAAGCCCCTTTACATCGCCTTGATCATTTTGTGCCATCCATACCTGACGAAGGGCTCTAGAGAATCTGGAAGCCCCCCTGGTTTGTACCTGTTTACCTGTACCTGGTAAAGGTAATTCTCCACCTAGAACTTAGTTTTTGTAATACTCATTTCATTGCTAAGGGCATGGAAGATCATTAGTGCTGCTGAGCGCACAACCCTCTATTTTGGAGTTCAGGCATCCGCAAGGATGCACAATCGTATGTGTGCAGGAAGGCAAGAGTCCCTACTTTCTTCTTAGAAGCACTGAAAGCGGTGCCCGTCCTCTGATCGCTTACCTGCCTGGTAGGGCTGTGCCGCAACGCAGTCCCCAGTCTTGTTATTGATGAACAGCGACCCACTGAACGTAGTCAAGCCCTTCCGGAGATTGGGAGGCAGGGGCGTCTGCATGGTCAGCTCTCCTGGAGAGAGACCAGACTCTGTCACCCAGTCTGGCTGGGCCCCCCGTTCCTGCTCCTGATCCAGGTCAGACACGACTGGGAAGGAGCTCTGCTAATTGACTTAAGAGGCCTGGCAGCCCGGCTGTCACTCAGGCAAAGGGCTGGAGATTATGTGCCCTTCTGTTCTCCGACTGAAGGAGTCAACCATATTTCCAGGGTAAGGCGTGGCCAATTTTTTTCCTTTCCACCACCTGCATGCAACTGGTGGGTTTTCATTTCATGCCAGAGCATTTCCACTGGGTTGTCCAGTGGTCTCCAGGCACTGCTGGACTCTCATAGCAAACTGCTATGCAGGTAGAAAGGCAAACCTCTGGGCAAGCCAAGGAGGAGAAGGCGGGCATGTGATTCTTGTGCCTAAGCACTTGCCATCCTTCCAAACAGCACAACAGGACTCACTAACCCAGTGCAAAAGTGTTTATTTTTGTCTTGGGTTGACCAGCACCTGAATAATTTTCATGATGTAAAGTGGTGCCTTGCAAGACGAATGTAATTCAGTGTGATTCTTGTGCCTAAGCACTTGCCGTCCTTCCAAACAGCACAACAGGGCTCACAAACTCAGTGCAAAAGTGTTTATTTGTGTCTTGGGCTGACCAGCACCTGAATAATTCTTATGATGTAAAGTGGTGCCTTGTAAGACGAATGTAATTCATTCCATGAGAAGGGAACCTCGCAAGACGAATGACTTTTTTTCATCTTGCGAGGCATTGGTCTCGGGAAAAAAAATCATCTTGCGAAGCACAGCCATAGAAGAAACCGTCTTGCGAGGCACCATAGCGATCGCAAAAACCAATCGTCTTGAGGGTTTTTTGTCCCACGAGGCATTCGTCTTGCGAGGCACCACTGTACTCTCAAGTCAATTCAGAGTGATGGCAACCGTCCCAAGGTCTTCTTCTAAGTATAAAATACTCACAAGGAGTTGACCAGTCCTTATTCTAGGCACTGCTTTGGGGCCACCGTGCTGCTTGGCCCTTGTCTGCATAATTGACAAGGCACGCAATCCGATAAGCCACACACCTTCCACATTATCTTAGTCAGCCCCTCTCCAGGGAAGTGGATTGGGGATATGGACTCTCCAACTGGTGACTCAACTCATAAGCTACACCAGCTTGCAAGCAACATTGCAAGGCCTAAAAAGAACAACATTTCCAATGTCAAGTCAATTCTGAGTGATGGTAACCATCTCAAGTTTTGTTTTGTTTTCTATAAAATTACTCGCTCGTAGTTGACCACTCTCTCCTCCAGGCGCTGTTCTGCACTGCTTGCCCATGGCTACATATTTGGTGTTGCCATATTATTGGGTTAACAGAAGAGAATTCTGGTTCCCTTCAAGCAGATTCTCCCCTGCCACGATGAACTGGCTCTGAGTCTTCTCCTGCCCACTTTCAACGCTTACTTCTCTGAAATCTCAGCTGTCTGCTTCTAGGATATCGTAAGAGTCCACCCTGTACATATGTTGGTTTCAGGCTGTTCCCGGCCTGACTGCTTCTCAGCAATTAGAATATGATTCCAAGCAAGACAGAATCCCTCTGAGATAGCATATATACATTTATTAAGAACCTAAGGAAAAAAAACGAGCTTGTGAGATAGCTGATTGTGCACAACACGGGGATAAAGTGAGTAGGATGTTGGGCTGCTGAGCCAAAGAGAATCTCCCAGCCTGGCGCTCTCCGGATGGTTCGGATGAAAACCCATAGCGCTCCCAGCTAACACAGCTATGCCTGTTGGCTGCTGTGGTTGGGGGTGACGATGGGGCTGTGGTCTCATCTGAAGGGAACCGAGTTTGGGAAGTCGGCAAGAAAGCAACACGAGCAGGTGGCATGTAGCCCATAAGTCCTAAAAACTTATTGATCAGACAAAAAGCAGAAATGCAAGCAGCACTTCCTTGTTCCAGCTAGTAGCAAAAGCGTGGTAGCTGGAAAAGAATTGCTTGCAGATATTTCTACAGCCGCTTCTACTGTCAGTGGGACAAGAGAACAATCTCGTCAGCTGAAGGAGGTAGAGAGCACCAGAAATGGGATGCAATGTGCATGCAACTAGTCCTCTTTAAGGAACAAGGAGGTTCCGTTGCTGCCACTCCTACCCACCCACTCCCAAGGAGACCAGCGGTGAAAGGAAAGCTAGGATATTCTGTTACAGCTTGGAAAAGTTTTTTGGTTTTTTTGTGGGGGGGGGCAACCTGCCCAGAGTCCTTCAAAAAAGCACCATTTGCTAGCTCTGATCTCAACTACAGAAAGAATTCATACTTGAGAGTTTCAAGGTGTGTCAAAAGCATCACCGGTTAAATAGAGGGCAGGGCTGAGGACTGCCCTTTATTGAAGGACAAGATCATCATAGAACGGCAGAGCTGGAAGGGACCTTATGGGATCATCTAGATCAGCCCCGTTCAAGGAGGCCCCGTGGGGGAATCAAACTCCCAAACAGAGACCTAAACCACTGAACTATCCAGCAGTTAAATAATCTTAGACCTGCAGAACTGGAAGGGACCCTATGGGGTCATCCAGTCCAGCCCCTGTGAAGAACGCCCAGCGGGGAATCGAACTCCCAACCTCTGGCTCCACAACCAGAGACCTCAACCCCTGGACTATAAAACCCGCTTCTGGGCTAGAGGGCTGTGGAGATCCGGGACACTCTGTTGCTGGTGCTGCAATGAAAGCAAAGGAAGCCTATAGATCTGTGAGCTTCTACACCTCCACCCTCCGACTGGCCCTACTTTCTCTTTGCTCGTGGCTGCCCCTCGGAGGGTCCTGCTAAGGTCCGTTGCCAACACAACGGGGGTCCCAATGCTAGCATTGCTGCAGGAGGGGAAGCATTCCAGGACTGCATTCTGGGGGTGAGCCGCTGGACCCTGGGTGTGTGGGGAGGGCAGGATGTGCAGAAGGGGACACCCCACACACAATTGAGGTCTAGCCGGAAGGGACCCCAGAGATCATCCAGTCCATCCCCTGACAAGGAGGCCCCGTGAGGAATCTCACATGGGGGGGGAAGGAGCCTCTTCGGTCCACCAAGAGCTCACTACCCCAGCGGAAAAGTTTTCCCCTCTCCGTGGACTCCACAGAGCGGCCCCTGACTGTACGTGTCCGTCGTGGCCTCCAAAAGCAGTGGTAACGGGATGATATCCTTAAGGACCATAGGTTGGTCTTTCGGGCTTTCCAAGCCACCCCTGGGGCAGCTGTTAATCCCTAGATCCAGGCTCAAATGTTCGCAAGCAGGAGGCCATGGTGGAAGACAGGTTAAGAGTTGCCCTGAGGGAGGTCTGTTAGAAGGACGGGCTTCTTCGAAATCCCAGAAGAACCCATTGGAGCACATTCCATCTCTGGCCTCTTCTGGGTCCATCAAGAACCAGCCGTTTGCATCCTCGGGCTGTTACGAGCCTTTCCCAGTGAGCCAGGACATGTCCCCAGTTCTGCAGGAAAGACAGAGAAGGAATGTCACCTTTCGTGATCTCCCACCTAAAAGCTTTTCAGCTTGGAGACTCAAAGCTGCCTTTGTTTCTTTAAGAAAAATATATGTGCAGGATGCAAATACTTTAAAAAGTGTAATCTGAGGAGACGGTGGCGAAGAGCCAACGAGAAAGCAGGGGGAGCCAAACTCACCTCCCTTCTAAAACCACCTTCGCCTGTTGCATTTTGCAAACCTGAAAGGCCTGTTTGGCCAAAGAAGGGGGCAAGGTGACCTCGTTGAAGATGAGTTGCAAAAATGAGCAAAATAATTTTGCAAATTACAAGAGATAAGGGGGAAAAAATTCCTGCTGTGACAAACACATGCAATCAGCACTTGAGGAATACCCTCTTCCAATGACGGGTCATCTATAACATGTAGTTTGGGCTTAAAAGCCATCATTTAAATACAGCTCCAGATGACCCGCTCAGACATACATACTTGCCGTACCGGATGAAGAGCCTTAATTTGCAGCAGTAAAAGGAGAAAAAGAAAATATGTGTGTGAGAGAGAAAGAAAGGGAGAAAGTGAATAAATATTGGCTACCAACTCTGTTGGAAGAGGCCAGGAGAGCATGCCCCTCCTGTTGACCCCACAAAGTTTAAGTTCCAACCACCCTAACTCACCTTCCTCCTTCTCAGACTATGGAAGGACCAGCAGGCATGGCCCAGCTGCATTCATAAAGGCTGGGAGCTCCTCTCTCTCTCTCTCTCTCTCTCTCTCTCTAAATTATTTATTTATTGCAAACAGACACTGTGATCAATGTTATTCCCCAAGGTCTATACTAAGGAAAGCAGGATAATACAACCTGTATAGATTTTACATATTATGTACTTCCTTTTTTATGAATGCAAGCAACATTTATTCATCTCATCCTACTCACAACAACAGACAAAATAGAAATGAACAAGAGAAGGCTGAAGTTATAGAATCATAGAAGAAGGAAGTCGTAATGCACCTGACTCTCCTCTCTTAGAACAGGAAAGCTGCATCCACCCATCCACCATCTATCTATCTATCTATCTATCTACTATAGAATCATACAAGGAGGAAGTCGGAATGCACCTGACTCTCCTCTCTTAGAATAGGAAAGCTGCATCCATCCATTCATCCATCCACCCATCTACCCAGCCATCATCTATCTATCTATCTATCTATCTATCTATCTATCTATCTATCTATCTATCTATCTATCTATCTATCTATCTATCTATCTATCTATCTATCTATCTATCTATCTATCTATCTAACACATACACACTTTTCTTTTTAAAAAACAGCCTGTTGCCAAAGTTGTTGTATGAGGGCACATAGACATCCTCAACGAATATTAACAAGAGGAGGAAATGAAAGGAGGAAACCCTTGTTTACAGTTAATCAAGGAGTTCCCCCATAACTGTGTCCATCCATCCATCCACCCACCCACCCATCAAAGCTTATAGATCACCCATTTTTTATTTTATTTTATTAGGCAAACCAAAAAGAAGAAAGGAGAGGAGAGGGCATTTAATTTGGGAAAGAACCTCCCAGGGATAGGTACTTACTCCACATCTCGCTTGCGGATCGTTCTGCCAGCGGCCATGACGTCAGCAACCTTAGAAACCAAGGGGTCGTAGTTCATGCTTGCCACTGCAATCACGTCATCATTCCTAAAGCAAGAGAGCCGAGGATGTGAAAGGTGACACAATTAAGAGAGAGGCGAGGCGGCCATCATGAGGACAAGAGGGGTTCTAACCTGGGCCATGAAATTAGATCAAGGCACCTCCCTTCCCTGCTCCGCTTTGTGCCCAAGGATGAAACTGAATGGAGGAACATCTTCCTAACTCATCGGTGTTTGTAGGACAGCCAAGAACCGCCCTGGGGGCTGGAATGCAGCTGTGCACAGGACTGACTGGCCAGCTCCCATACTGTCACTACCAAGGCTCAAGTTGCATCTGGAGAAATCACCTCAAGCTCTAGTTCCAGATATGCCTCTTTTCACCTTTTGAGTGAGTCTGCCTAGGAATTTGCGTGAGCACCAGATTCTTACTGAGATATTGCTGCCAACCCAGATCCCTCCAGGTGTTTGGACCAGAGGTATGATCAACTCGTGGCAACGTGGCCAATGGCATGGCACAAAACGTCCCTTTGCTTCATCACTTGGGCTCAGAATGATAAACCATTTGCATTGCCTAAACGTGTCTTCAACCCAGAGTGAAAATGCAACCCATTTTAGGAGCCCTTCTTATCATATTCCAGCATACAAAACCAGGCCAACAGATGTACAGAAGAAACAGACAGCGTGGCAATTTTGCAATTAAAAGCCAAGCTGCCTTAAGAAGCAGAAAGCACTTGATTATCCCCCAGCATTGTCTTTGCAAAGACACGCATTGCAAATCACCTTGCTCTGGTTCGATGATTGGCCCCAGAGATATAAGCAGAGGATTCACTTGTATGCTGATTGCAGAGAGACAAATCCTTTGAAACACTGCCTGTTTCGAAGGGTAACACAGGATCACCTTCTAATTGCAAAGTTGTCCCTTCATCTGTCCCTGCTTTTAGGGTGCTTCCAGATGGACAGCTCCTAGAGCGAGCGATCAGAAGCCCAAGCAGAGTTACTTCTGCCTTTTTCCTCTCAATGTAGCTTCCAATGGTATTCAAAAAGTTTAGAAAAAATTCAGAGGAAAGATGCCGGGGGGGAACCCACAGAAGAGTTCGAGACGGGCGACAGCTCTGTCTGGGCACCATCCAGGGTATACCCGGATTTCCAGCAAGCAACGGACAAAAGCTGCCACATCAGGTTCCCATGATGGGCCGTGGGAACGAGATCTCAGGACAAGGTCTGCACACAGACAAGGGTGCACGGACAGCTGGACAGCCCGCCCTGTGCCCTTTGGGTAACAACGGGCTTCCCTCTTTGTCCAGGGCATGAGAGTATCTGTGCATTTTTGGTTCCCTATTTAAAAAAAGCCAATTTCCAGAAATGGGGAAATGTAAACTGCTGAGACGCGAGGTGGTGGGAGGGAGATCTGCACAGCAGCACCAATTGCAGAGATTTGGGGGGGGGGGCTACAGATCCCCTTCTGGCAACGATGCACCGGTGGGAGTATTTGCTTACACCCACCACCACTGCAAGGGATAAGAAGGGGAAAAAAGAAACCA